AGGTAGTGTTAGATTGCCTTAAAGTGCGGCTGCATACCCTACTAGCAGTACCTCTACCTAAAACGCTGTAGCAATCTAAGACGCTAAGCAATACACACAAGTTTAGGTCTTAATCTAAGCTTATAAGCAACTCCTTCTAACAATTGCTAAGTGCAGCGCAAGAGGGGTTCTTAAAGCTTGTAAAAGGGGCTGAAGAGATGCTGCATAAAAACGTCCTTATCAAGGCCTGCGTGCAAGAGCTTGAAGAGCAATTAGCAGTAATAACTAAGAGAAAATCGCGTAAGAGAAAGCAGATTCAGCATGGTGGCACACTTGAGTATGGCCCAGCAGCATCGCGGGTAGCTGCTGAGGCGTGTGTAGCAGCTCAGCCATCTAAGAAGACTTGGGGTGGAGGTGGTCAACTAGGAGCTCAGTCAACTGTTCAGCGCTGTGGGAACTGCAGCAAAACTGGACACAACGCACAAACGTGCTAGGAGGGTGCAGAAACATCTTCTAAATCTAATGTAAGCACGCAGTATGCTGGGTCACTGTTTAATAGCAAGTAGTTGTAGTTGCAGTAACTTGTGTTAGTTGTGCCAAGAGAAAATGGCCAGTTCAGTGATATGGCCAGCTTGGTGATAATCTACGTTATACATTATAATAACGTTGTTAAGTTAGACGTTAAATAAGGTGCGTAAGTTTGGTGGGGTGCGGCGCTCGCCCGTGTGCGGCGCTCGCCTGTGGAATACGTTAGCCCTTGTTACATAGCATAAGCTTGCACTAAACTGCCACTAAATCCTTTTATATAAGGAGCAAGGAACTGTAGCATTATAGAGTAGTTTTTCTTTATTCTTTTATACAAGACCTATAGGTGTAGAGAATATATCCTAATGTTCTTATCATCCTAGCACTCCTATATGCCTTGTAGCGGATTCACACCTATTCCAGATATCTCTCTTCTTGCCTGCGTCGTTACAACCAGGCACCTAGAGGCTCTGGGAATTTCAGGGGAGTATATCCCAGTTAGGTTGAGATGAACGCAGGCTAGAAGGGAGATACCCGGAATAGGTGTATTTTCGTGTTCGTGAATTCGGGGGTGCTAATGTATGTACATTTTGCCTCTATTTTGGCTGCAACAACTATGTTATCACCACTACACTCTCTGCATGGACCCTAAGGAACCAATGATATCCAAGCTGTCTTTGCCCTTGATGAGGCAGCACCTATCAAGAAGGAGCACTTTGTTATATCATATAACAATGCAAGAGAAGAAGCTATTTCAGAGCAAGTTACAAGAGCTCGCTGGTGCGCTGCTGGCCTCTGCCCGTTCAACCTAAATCTGGTACTGCTCTCATCCCAAGTAAATGGCTAGCCAGTTACTCCACTAGCAGCTAGTCACGCCTTGATTAGAACATGTCTTCAACATCCCCTAGAGCTCACAAGCTCTATATAAGGCCCAACAGCAGCTACTGTTTGTCAGAACATCTCTCACGAAGCACCCGGATAGTGCGTGGCAACGCAGGCAAGGCTATTGCGGAGGCAAATACCAGAGCTACCTAGCTCAAGGCTGAGAATCAACACTTCAAATATCAACTAGATCACTTTTTATAAGATTACTCGTACGCGAAAGCGACCTCAATTTAATTCAAATGAGCGACTCGGCAATGTTGAGAGTAAACAGGCTGCTACTGACCGAGCAGCAGCTCTACAGGCTCAACAAGCCAGCACTTCAGCTGAAATAGAGGCATCAGCGCGTTGTTTTATTCCTATGGCAAATATAATCATTGTTGTTAAGAAAATCACAACTCTATACCGTGTGGCTGCTTTGAATAATATGGTCGGAAAGTATATGGCCGAGCTTGTAGTATCACTAGAAATGCATTGGAGCGCACAGGGAGTCTTAGTGCGTGCAATTCAATTCAACTATATACAACTTAAAACTTCGAGCTCGCAAGAACGCTTCCAAGCGCAATACCATCAGTCAAAACACGTAAGACTTTAACCACGGACAAGAGTGAGGCCGTAGGCGGACAGAATCGGGTTGACGGGCTGGAAGTATGTGACACCGCCGCTGGCGCAGTTGCCGGAGCCACCGGAGGTGACACCCTGAGCCTGAGCGCCAGTGTAGAAAGAACCGCCGGAGTCACCAGGCTCGGCGCAGACGTTGGTCTGGGTAAGACCAGTGACACGTCCCTGGGAGTAGGTGACTGACGCGCCCAGAGCACGGACAGTGCCGCAGAACACACCGGTCGTAGAGCCGGAGCGGCAGACACTGGCTCCAACAGCGGAGGCGGTGCTACCCGAGACGGGGAGTGTGCTGCCGGCGTAGTTGTTGATGCGACCCTGGTATGTGTTTGCACTAGTACCACGGATGAAGGCGTAGTCATTGCCTGGGAAGGATGAGCCAGAAAAGGTTCCGATTGCCACACCGCCCGTGGTCGTGGCAGCGTTGCCAGCAGTACCACAGTGGCCAGCAGAGACAAAGCCAGTGGTGACAGAGAATCCGACAGAGCATCGGGCGCTGTTGTTGATGAGGTAGGCATCGCCGCCGCGAATTGTGGCGAAGGTTGTAGGCAGAGCATCAACAGTCTTGACCTCGAACTCGCCCTCAACGAGGCCGACCTTCTTGGCCAGCTCCTCAGCCTGAGCGGTACTCTCGGCAAGTGCCTCCAAAACGAGCTTGTTGGCAGCGACATCGACGTAGTAAGATGCGATTCCACTGGCGGCCTCCTCGCGCTTGCCAAGGGACGCGAAGTCGAGGTTGTCGAGCGCGTTCTGAGCATCCTGGAGCTTGGAGAGGGGAGTGTCGACGACAAGTGCCTCAGCACCGGCAGATGTGACCTCGGAGGTCAAGGCATCGTCAGTGACAGCAACCTTAAGGGCGCCATCAACGAGCCAAGCGCCGCCGAAAGCGGAGCCGGCTGTGGTCTTCAGCTGCTCAATGACTTCAGTAGCCTGGAGCTCGCGGGCGACACGGGCGTGAGCCTGCTCGGCATCGAGTCCAAGGTCGCGCTTCATGGCAGCCAGAATGTCGGGGTGAAGGCTGTTAGCGGTGGCGGTAGGAGCACCATAGACGATGGGCAGGAAGGCTGCGAGAGCAGCGAGGAATGCGGAGAGCTGCATGTTTGCGAGTCTGGGGATTATACAGAGAAGAGGCTGTGGTGATACTGTGGAGGCGAGATCGTAGCAAGCTGAGTCTGCGATGCCGTTAAAGAGAACGGCACGACATACATATTTATACTGACTGCAGCTCCACCGTCGTGATCAGATTCCATTGTCGCTGTCCAAGATAGGACCGCAAATTGCACCGTCGGCCACCAGATGTCTCCTTCCTCATCCACGACAAGATGCTTTGCATGTTCAGGTAGGTATCAGGAACGTGGTCCCCAAATGGCACCTAACAAGACTTTCACCCACGATGTTAATCCCGAAGAGGCATTTCACAAGAAACCTTGATTGCATCGCCCGCTGCCAAGCCTCTCCTTCCTCATCCGCTGTAAGATACTGCTGCGTTTTTCAGCAGTATCAGAAGGATAATCCATAAAGGGCACCTGGCAAGACATCCGCCACGAAGAGCTCCTTGGCATCGATATAGCACTCCCTGCAAGGCGATTCGACATACTGCAAAGACCTATACGCTACACGAAGTCAATAGTTGAACAGGAAGGAGATAGGAGATGCGACAGGCATGCAGTGGTGATCGATTAGCATTCTGCTTGGACCATGTGCCAGGCTTATTGCATAACCCCGCACGGAAATACTGTGATCAAAGGACCCATACACATCTTTTAAATTACCTTCCTAATTGAACATCGAATCCGCTGCCAAGGACCTGTACCTCTCTCGCCTGCAATACCGGCACGGTAGATCATAGATAGGGGCCTTACAACAGCCTGTATGATTGGCTCGACTACCGTAGCGCCGGTAGTCGTGTGTTTCGTCCTCTTGGCGCGGCTTAGGTCATAGTCGATTCCCCTTCCAGAGCATTTTCGACAATGCACGAAGATGACGCAACGTTACATGTTGTGTTCGCTCCGTGAGGTTGACAATCGAAGAAATTCCTGAAGGTCACGAACGCTGGCAGGCAAAAGCGTATTGACCTCGGCAGATAATTTTAACGATAAGCACCGCCCAGTCTCTATTTTTCGAAGACTGGGGCAGCAGCAGGGTCCCGACCGGCTTCTCATGCTTGTCTCTGACATCACTGACCTTCTTGTAAGCCGTATCGCTACCTTCCTCTTTGAGCGGAGGGCGCCTTTTCTCCCTCTGGGCTATCCACTCGTCGTGGGCTGTAAAAGTAATTCCGTGCATGTCCATCACGGTTTCTGGCCTCCAATCTTGATGTCGTTCCTGGATAGTCGGTCTATGTCCGGCATCGGAGTCAGGCCCTAAACCGACCTCAAGGCTAGTCGACTTTGTTACAGGGTCTTGACCTGCCAACTATATGCGCAGACTCATGGTCGTCAGCGGCCGTGTTGCCCCAAGAGAGCGCCAATCGTGAGTAACAGACCGGCGATTGAAGCATCCTACTCGACACGAGCTTTTGCAATTGTGCAGAAGCCCCTTGCCGCTTCATGTGCCTACAGTGCTTTCGCTTGAACCTGTTGCGTGAGCGGAGGCCGTGCTGTACTCTAGGAATATCATTTGGGTTGGTACCTGTGGAGGAGAAGTGGCAGAAAGTGATGATATGAAGGCCGGAATCATCGGGTTGAGCATCGTTGCGGTAAGCGGAGACGACTGCGTGAGCTTAGAAATGATTCTGCACACTGGACTAGACGATGACTGTGTGTTAGAGCCCGCTCACGAGTGTCCTTCACGTCGGTCATCGAGTAGGGTTCATGGGAGAGGTCCCGCTTACGGAAGGCATTGGCTGTCACTATGGCAACAGCGGCAACGGTTGCCGAGTCTCGAAACTGAGAATTGCGACGATGTCCAGACTTGTTGATGCTCCTCTGCGAACGGTGATATTGAGCGTCTCTGATGATCTGGTGCAATGCACGACTATACGCCGTCGCGGTGCTTGTTGATGTTTGTAAATTAGCAGCGCGCAGTTCAGGGCTAGAAATTCAAGGCGTCTGAAGCGAGCCGGCAATTGGCATCCCCGGCTTTCGTGCGCCACATCCGCTCATCACCTTGTCATCACTTATTCCAACTTCTACCTCGTTTCACAGACATCAAAAACTCCTCCTCACAGAGTACATGCCAGCATGATTGCTGATCTTTCGCATTGGTGCCCCGTCGAAGGTGTACTTGCTGGCAGTCTCGCTCTTCGCGCACACGTGACTGGAGTCGACAAAATAGCGCACGGGCTTCCGCTCGGAGGTAGTCCTCGCATGCGCCGAGGCCACTTAGCATATCCTTGGAGCTGAGGTTCGTGATCACCTCTTCTGGCCCGGAGCGGACTCGCGCCTACCGAAAAATTGTCCGGACACCATTCAAATCACCGTGCGGCCCCCTGTGAATTCGGAATTTGACTCTAGAGATGCGTATTTCTATTCCACGAATAGCCATAAGCTCAGTACAGTTGGCGTAGGTAAGCGATGCCTACAGAGTAGGTACTGGATATGCTCTACCCGCTCCGCGCGGTGGGCAAAAGCCACGATCCATTCCTTGGCACTGCGATGGCCGCTACTTCGTGTCATTCCCAATCTCTCACACGCTCTCGCGCACAATCATCTTCAAGTTTACCTTGTCGCACAGCTCGGCCTCTCATGTTGCCTGTTTAAATTACCTTCAGCCAGACCAATGCAACGCCGTCTCCAGCCATTGAATCGCACACTTTTGTTGCCTGGTCCCGGTGATTTCGAAAATCTAGATGCCAGAGTCGCTTTACAGGCCTTCCCGCCGGATGTGGTCCGCACGCCCCAATCGCGATCGAATACTAAGTGCGAGCATCGAGCAGAAGAAATTCTCAAGCAAATCGGCGGTGCCAGGATACATCAAAAGCCCAGCCACAGCCCCTTCGATACGCAATAGTACCGCTGGGCTCAGAAGATCGGGGCTCGTTCGAGCCTGTCGCACGCGATATATTGCCAAAATGCTTCAGAACACACAGGGTGTGCAAACATGCTGAGATGTATTTTCAAACGTTCTCGTCGTCGGTCGATGCTAGAAAGGCCGTTGTTAGTGACATCTTCTGCGAAGCGCCGATCTATGCGGGGTAACGGGAAACCCCTATGGCGGACGGATACCTGCCCACCTCGCCTTGCAATGTCGCGAAACCCCGAGATGCTCTCCGAATATAAATACTGACGTGCCAAGCTCACTGTCCGGCTGTCTGCCCAATCTGACGAAGAGTCCGAAGCAATGACAATACCCACCAATCTTGCAGCACTATTATGGCTAGCGGGCGCTGCCATTGCAGCTCAGAATGTGAACGCTTGTTGGAGGAACAGTACGTGTGACAGAATTTTGGAGCCGTCTTTTACTGGACCGTGGGACAAGTTCAACTTTGCTCCAAGGTCCCGCTTTGTTGCACCGCAAACGCTACTGTCGCTTTCTGATGGAGCTTCCGTTGGGAACTACTGCGCAGACGGGACCATTATCAAAGCAAGTAGCACCGGAACCGTATTCGACTTTGGGCTTGAGGTCGGCGGCATTGTCTCATTCGACTACTCACTGAACGGCTCCACGACCAACGCCTCTATCGGTCTTGCATTCACGGAAGCTAAGGATTACATTGGACGCAAGTCAGATAACTCCAATGGAGGCACAGGCCAAGACACTGCCCTGCTGTTCGCTTTAAACGGCACGCAAAAAGGGCAATACACCATGCCGGATGTCAGTCTCCGTGGTGGCTTCCGGTACCTCACCATCTTCCTCATTGCCGACGACAGTGCATCCGTAACTTTGCGGAACATCAATCTCGAGATCAGTTTCCAACCGACATGGCCTAATTTGCGTGCGTACCGGGGCTATTTCTTTTCGAGCGAAGAACTGCTTGACAAGATCTGGTACAGCGGAGCGTACACTTTACAGACGAATTCGGTACCAGGCAACACAGGGAGAGCCAACGTGCAGGCCAACCGAACGGGATGGAACAACGCCGCATACATCGGTCCCGGCGATACAGTCTTGCTTGATGGTGCGAAACGCGATCGTTGGGTCTGGATTGGAGACATGGGCGTTGCTGTTCCGTCAGCGTTTGTTAGTACGGGAGATATGGAGAGCACCAAGAATGCCTTGCGAGCGATCTTTGATAATCAGGTCTGTACTCCGGGTCAACCGCTGAATCCTATTCTGACAAGCTGTGTAGTCCGCGGATGGCACACTTCCGAAAGCTGGCCCGCCATACCTTTCCAAAGATAGCGACAGTGAGTGTCACCTATCACCATGTATGTTTGGAGCAGGCTACTGACGCTAGACAGCCTACCATCTGTGGGCGATTATTGGCTTCTACAACTACTACTTGTACACTGGAGATGAAGTTTTCCTGCAAAACTACTGGCCGAAGTATGTGCTGGGCGTGAATAAGATCCTGAGCAAGGTCAACAACAAAGGCATCGTCAATGTCACCGGGACCGCTGATTGGGGACGATGGCTGTACTCAACAGAGAGAGGCTCTGCCAGCATGCTGTAAGCAATCGAGGTCCTCTACGTTGCAGCTATATTGACACAGACAGTCTGTACCGAGCATTAGTCACCGGCAGCCACATCGCTGGTTGGTCTCCAGACCTCACCGATGCCTCCGCACATAAGTCAAATTGGACTGCCGCCGCAACCGCCCTGCAAAAGTCTATCATCGAGCACTTCTGGGACGAGTCTCGCGGCGCGTTTAAAGAAAGCCCAAACAACACCTCCCTCTACCCCCAAGATGCAAACAGCATGGCCCTCGCCTTCGAAGTGCTCAACGCCTCCGACCACCGCGCCGATCGCGTCTCAGCATACTTGGTGACAAACTGGACTCCCCTCGGCCCTATCAATCCCGAAGTCAGCGCCAACGTGTCTACCATCTCGCCTTTCATTACCAGCATCGAGCTTGAAGGTCATTTCAAGGTTGGTCGTCCTGAGCGCTCGCTGGAACTCATCCGCAATGCCTGGGGTTGGTATCTCAACAATCCCAATGGCACACAGTCCACGGTATCGGAGGGCTATCTTGCGAACGGGACCTGGGGATATCGAGGGGATAGAGGGTACCGGAATGACCCAAGCTATGTGAGTCATGCGCATGGCTGGAGTAGTGGACCGACGAGCACTTTAACGGAGTATCTTGTTGGACTGAGAGTCACAGGGCCGAAGGGGCTGAAGTGGGAGCTGAAGCCAGCGACGTTTGATGAAACGGAGAGGGCTGAAGCGGGGTTTACGACGGGTCTAGGTAAGTTCTCGGCGAAGTTCGAAGTCAAGAATGGGACGGTGAGGGTGCGGTGGGACACACCATATTCCACTGAGGGGTACGTGCAGTTGCCGGGTCAAAAAGGGATGGTTGTGAAAGGAGGAAAAGGCTCAATTGTAATTAGGAAGTGATAACACGCTCATCATGTAGCAGCGTCACGAGCTTTGCACATACATTTACGATTCTAGGCGTTGAACTCGACACTTTCGCCATCAATACGTCCATTCGGTCTGTCATTCCACAATCGCTGGGTGTCGTCCAGAGTTTTATTTGCAAAAGCCTCGACAGCAAAGATACCTGTAATGAAGGTATACCCAATGGGCTTGTCGCTGGCTGAACTTCTTGGTAACTTGTGACAGACCGTCGGAATCAGACTTCGCTGTACGATGAGGTTGCTATGGCTACATTAGTTCTAGCTTTACTCCGATAGCGTCGTCACTTACGTGTTTGGGTCTGCGCGGACGATCGATGCCTCGCCCTTGGCCTCACGCGCAATCTCCCGATTTTCTTCGGTGAGGAACTGAGCGGTCAGGTCAACAACACCACTAGCGCCTGACTCTGATATGACCAATGCAGAGCTGCCGCTTTTATACCACCCCTGGGCAGTTTCCAAAAGCTTTCTCATATCCTTAACCGGTGTCTCGAAGATCGAGAAATCATTCGAAGTCTGCGCCGACGCTGCAAAACCACCGTCGACCAGTCTCAGCGGGAAGCAATCCACCCTGGGCCGCCACTCAACGTGGTGGATCCTAACATGCCACCCCGGCCACCTCTTTACCGGTGGTACCAGCGTGGTTCTGACCGTCAACTCCTCCCTTTCCCAAGGACGCCACGTACTGGCCAAAGTAGACACTTCCTCATTGCCGACTATGAAAATAGCTGCGGAAACATCGTATGGGTCCCGTCTTACTTTCCAGCTTTCTTCTCCGTCGTCCAGACTCACCGCTAATGTTGAGTCCGACGCGATCTGCTCGAGGAATGGACCGCACGGAACGCTGAACCCGAATGCGGAGGAATACGCGAATTTGCCGTATTTCGCTTCTCTCGCTTTGAATTTCTTACGGGTTGACTGGCCGGAAGATAAGAGGAAGTGATGCTCAAAAGTGTTGCATAATACGTGTCGGGGCGGCCAGACTCTTTCAACTTGTTTGGTGGCATCAGGGGTTGGGCACGGCAGTTCTTCACAGCTCCAGAAAGGGTGGTCCTCTGGAATACCGAGAACTATGAGAGACTTCAGACACCAATATACTGACTGCGGAGAGTTGTAGTCTTCGGCAAGATACATATTCGGATACGTGTACCCAATGTTCGGCGTCCCGTCGGCGTTGAAGATGTGCGGTTTCTGTGCCCACCACCGGAGATGTCTTCCCAACAAACCCTTCACCACGCTTAGCTGATCAAGCGGCGCAGATATATAAACGTCCGCGGCCACGACCGCGGCCCAGAATGCTGCGAACGCGAAACGATACGTCAAACTCCTGCCAAACGGTATGGCAGCTCCACTGGGTCCGAAGTACCGCCAATACGTCCTTGCAAATTGATTCGCCTGCTCTGTGTACCTGACTGTCCTCTCTTCATCGTAGTCGGGTGCAAATTTTACGAACAGTAGCTGCGCGAACTGGATCGCATAACTCCCAGAATAGTAGTCTGCTTGCTTCCGCTCGTCACACCAGAGTCCGTCGCTGCTCCACCCTTCGCCAAGGTAGAAAGTATCAAGTGTTTGGAGACTTTCGTCAATATTATGCTTGAGCTCAGCCAGCGGAACGTTCAGTACCCTTGTCAGAGCAAGATTGACCAAGACCCGGAACCACAGCCAATTGCTCTGCGGTATGTTGTGGTCATTGATCTGGCTCAGCCAGCTGGCTAAATTATTCCTCGCCACATGGTCATCGTTGAAGCCGAATGCGATGGGATTGGACAATAGAGCATATGCGATCGATTCCATTTCAACCATTCGCTGGTCAAAACTGCTGAGATCACCCCAGTACTCCGGCGAACGTGGATCTGTGCCAGCTTTGATACCGTCGATCCAGGTCTTAAGCTGTACGGAATCACGATCGGAGCGCAGCAGATCAGCTACGACCCAGAGTGGTCGTGCGAACCCTTCGAGTTGTGCAGCTGTCTCGCTGAAGCCGGCCCCTGTCGACGTCGCGATTTTTATGCGCGCATTCTGTGGGGATTTGTATTGATCAAGAGGTTTGATGAGGGCAAACGCAGCGCGGACGAAGTCATCGCGGGTTCGGAAGGTGTTGTCGGAGAAACCAGGGAGGGGAGGCATACTTGATGGAACTGCTAGTGACGGGCGTGAGGAAAGTGCGAAGTTGGACATGCGGCTCGAGTGGGACGCGGCGAGGCTTTGTACATGCGGTGAGCGGGGGAGCGGGGGAACATCGCCCGAGCACATAAGATTCGGACCATGAGAAGATCTACATGTTCATTTTGGTGTCTTGGTCTTGATCACTCCATGATCCTCTCCAACAGAGCCTCTAGTCCTCTCTATCGGGCTCGATGACCTTAACTCCATCCCCACCGCTGGCGTAGCTTGAACCATCTGAACTCGAGATTTCTTCTTTTCTTCGGCTACCTCGATCCGCACGGCTTCGTCCTTCTCCGTCTCCTCAGCAAGCTCAAGCTCGCTCGAATGGCCTGGCGCATTGATGTCGAACTTCCTAATCGCTACCTCCCTACGCCAAAGGTACTGTCCGACCATGAAGATGGTCCAGTAGCATATGATGAAGATAATGTTGACGGTAAAGCCCTTTGTCCACTGTGGTGCTTCTAGAATGGGAAATACGGTGACCGGGTAGAAGCTGAAAAATGCCCAACCGATCGTCATCATCGCTCCGGTGGTGAAGGAGCGCGCCTCGTTATCGTCTTTCATTAACATGTTTGCCCATGGGAAGAGAATGGGTGTGACACAGGAAGTCATGCCAAGGAGATAGTATACGAAAACTAGTCGCAGGTCAGCTAGGGACGCAGGCACAGAGAATAGTTTTTGGCTTACAGTGAAGACCGAGCGGTATGTGCCAGATCCTCAAGCACACGTTCGCGAAGAGCAAAATGCCGGTGACGACGGAGAAGACTGCCCACATGGGGTAGATCATGACCAGACTCGTGACGAGAATTCCCATGACGATAGCCACACCTTGCACGCCCGTGGGGATCAAATTGATCTCTTCGATGCTGTAAGTGCCGTTATTGTCGGCCTCCTTCTTGAGCCACGCTTGCATCTGGCCACCTGTGGAGGCATTAGCTAATCTGTAGTTCTGCAGTTGCATAAATTGACCTTACCAACATAGCTCGTGCACTGGAAGAACACATAAGTGAGAACAACAATGTAAAAGTGCCAGTTCGTAAAGACACGCTTGAGCATGCGCTTTCCAATTCTGCCGCTCTGCTTGGTACCCTGGCTTTGCATGCGCGCGACAGCCAATCTGCGCTCATCTTCGGTCAACCACCACACCTTCGGGCTGGTCGGCAGGCCAGGGTACAAGAAAAGGCCAGCGATACCGATCGGCAAAGAAATGCATCCATCGATAATAAAGAGCCACCTCCAGCCCGACATGCCCATAGCACCATTCAATCCCTTATGAGCCGCAGCCTGTAGGTAGCCACTGAACATGGCTCCAGCGTTGCTAGAGACGTACCAAACACCTGCACGCTTGAAAACCTCGTCTGAGCGGTACCAAGACGTGAGGAGATAGATGGAGCCAGTCGCTGCAGGAGTCTCGAGGAAACCAAGTAGAAAGCGGAGACCGTAGATTTGCTGGACGCTGCTCAGTCGTGACTGAGTGAAAGTGAGAATTGACCAGGCGATCTCCATGCTCGGAACATAGTAGCGGGCAAGTTTGGGACGCGAGATAATCATCATACTTGGGATCTCGAAGACCATGTAACCAATGTTGTAGAAGGTGCCGAAGAGCGAGTACCTGAGATTATCAGCAATTTGCACGGTAAGACAAAGTCTAGGGGAAGTTACTCATTGCCTTTGATCTTTAGCTCCTCCCTCATGCCAGACCAGTAGGCGCTGTTGAGCGCATTCTGATCAAGCCACTTGATGTAGAAACAGAGACAGCACAGTGTAAGCAGAATGCAGTCAAGCTTTCGCACTAGCTTCTTTTCTTCGGGGGAGTAGTGACTCGGATACCACTGCGAACTGCGTCAGTACCGTTACCCAGATCTGGACGAGAGTCAACACACATCGAAGATGTAGAGCCAAGCCACCCAAAGCGAACGGTTCGGCCTCTCCGTGGCAGAGCTCACAATAACCTCCTTGCCGTTCACAATCACGACAGGGTTCTTGTTGGTCTCGTCCGCCTGCTCGATGCGGATGTCATCCTGCTGAGGGGGCATATCAGCAATGTAAGTCGTGAGCCACGATGCTCAGAAGAGATGTGAAAGGAGCGATCAATATTGTCGCCGCTGTGTTCTGACCATCTACAGCATGGCCGTATGCGTCCACTTATATATCTCATGAGTTCAAGCAGGGCGTCCGGTCGTTCGCCATGTTGATTAGGCTCGTGGTGTGTTCGCTTCGGTTCATCTACCCCAGACCCCGCAAGTGGCTGACTCCACATCCCCAATTGGCAAGTGGCGTGGCTGGCTCCACCAATCGCCGAGGCTCCGGGCTATTGGCAGCGGTCTCTGGAGCAGTCTGACTCCGAGATCATCACTCCGCAAAGGATAGCCAATGCGAGTCGGGAGAAACCAGTCTTTACGAAGCCGTTCTTATGATCGTGGCACTCCAGCGTAGTTCGTGTTGTCACCCTTTCAACTCATTATCTTCAAGTCATGGACTCTACAATATTTCCTGGGCCTCCGACCGTCGTCCAGCATGTCGTTCAATCCCATACATCGCATGACAAAAAGCACGTCTTATTAAAAAGAGAGACCATAGAGCTGACACAACTATCAAGCAATCTCACACTGGCAAGCAATCTAAGCGACAAGCCTCTACCTGTATCGAGAAATTTCGAGAAGAATCTTAACAGACAAACAACAGAGGCGGACGGTGAAATCGAAGTCGAGCCCAGTCATCCACGTTCCGATGCACCAGAAGACCTCAAAGATGCTCGGAACGACGTCTTGGCCAGCGAGGCGACTCGCGAACCTGAAACGAAGGCATCGCAAGAGCGTACGTCTGTATCTTCCACTAGTGACGAGGAGGAGGAGGATGCCGATACAACATCACCTCTCACCAGTACACCGCCGTCCGAATGCGGTGTTACTGAACCGTCGACTGAGATATTCGCATTGAGTGCGTCAGCACCCACAATCGTGCCGGAGCTGTATGCGGAAAACATTATTGCAAAAGCTTTTCGTACCGCACAGACTGCCTTAGGAACACTCCCATTTGCCTTTCCCGAGATTGTCTCACAAGATACGGGCGCCGACGGGACTTATACTTTGCGCGAAGCCGACTTCTGGACATGTGGCTTCTTTCCTGGCACCTTGTACCTTCTTCTCGAGCGATTGATACGGTTCCCGCAAAGCTTACGGCTCAAAGATCGAGATATCCGGCTACAAGACCTGCGTAGCCAGCTGGCCACGCTGTGTCGCGCATGGAGTGAGCCCATTCGTGGTATGGATACTAGGAAAGATACTCATGACATCGGTTTTATCATCATGCCGGCGCTGCGGTTGGATTGGGAGCTGTTCAATAACACACAGAGCCTCGATTCGATCGTTCGAGCAGCACACAGCTTGGCGACCAGATACGTGCCCTCCGCGCAGGCGATCAGGAGTTGGGATCTGCTGAAGAAGAAAGACATCGAAATCTTAGATCAGACCGAGAATATGATTGTCATCATAGACAGCATGTGCAATTTGGACTTGCTGTACTATGCATCTCATCATGCGCAGGAACCAGGCCTTGCTGAGGTGGCGACCGCGCACGCTCTTACGCTTTTGGGCTCACACTTGCGCCTGGAGCCTGTATTGTCGTCATCAAATGATGCATACAACGGTCAGTGGTACTCAACGTGCCATGTTTCCATCATTGACCCCCGGACTGGAGAATTAAAGCGTCGATTGTCAGCTCAAGGATACGCACACGAGTCGACTTGGGCTCGGGGACAAGGGTGGGGCATCCTCGGATATGCTGAGACATACACATGGACAAAAGATCGCCGGTTTTTGGAGGCGTCCTGTGGGCTTGCGGAGTACTTCCTGCATCGGATGGAGGTAGCACCAGCTTGTGTCGGTAGGAGAGGCCGATATGTGCCCTTGTGGGACTTCGATGCGCCCATCGAGAATGAGGAGAATCCCCTGCGAGATTCCTCTGCTGGTGTCATAGCGGCGAACGGTATGCTTATACTGTCGCAAGCATTGGCAATGATTGGTCAACCAAGACTTTCCTTGCGGTATCGCGATGCATCACTGAGGATTGTACGGGACACATTGGACTTCGCCCTCGCGCCGGAGAAGGCTCGGCTGGCTCCAGCACCGTATGGGCACATCAGAGCCGAAGACGAGCTTTCCGGTGTACGGTTTGACGGAATGCTAAAATTCGGTACAGCGAATTATAACGCACAAGCAAGGAAGCGTTACGCGAACCACGGCCTGGTGTATGGCGACTACTATTTGGTCGAATTCGGTAACCGATTGCTCCGAATGGGATTGTATTAGAATTGATAGTAACACCATGCATCGAGCCTTGCCACTCAATGATTCTTGCGTCAATCAAGTAGTTTCTCCTTGTGAGAAGAGACTCGTTGCATGTGCGTTATGCAGATTCCAAGTAGAGGATTATTACCATGTCTGGTGTGGTGTAGGATTGCCCTGGCTGACCCATTTGACGATTGATTGCTAGTACTACGAGCTGAGAAAGTTGCTTGTGTTGTGGAGCCGGATCATCTTCACCACGCGGAGGCAGCGGCGTCGAATGCTGCTGTGAACATGCTCCCGTCGTCGAAAGCAATGACTCGGTCCAGATCAACGAAGTCCTGATCGAGTATGATTGGGGGTATGGAAGTGAAGTCCAGCGCTTCTGGGGCGTTCGGCGGCAGAATTGTGCTGGCCTCAGGTATCGCTTGATTCAGCCCTTGGGGAGCCATGGGCCAGACACTGAGATCCCCGGCAGATCTATCGTGCTTGTAGCAGTTGTGAATATCACTGGTGTAGTTCATAACATCGATCTGATGGTTGAGATTGGTTGAACAGACATCGTAGAGCTCCTTCAGTCGGGACGCATACTTGGCGAACAGGTTCTGCGTTTGAGGCGACTTGGCGAATGCACACCATCGTACGGACATCTCGTCCAGGCTATGCACAAGTGACCAGAACTCTGTGGGTAACTGATTACCAGATTCGTAGCGCCAATGAACAAGGAGGACTCTTGCGGCAATGAAGATGCAGAACGCATATTGACTGCCGATCGGAGAGTTGTTCATTGACTTCCTCAGGTACTTCTGCGTTATAGTCGCGATCTCAACTCCAGCTAAGTAGCAAGCTTCCACACTGCAGCCGCTTGGCAATTTTTTTCGAAACCCCCAATGTGTGGGTGGGTACGCAATGGTCTGATGAAGAAGAATCATGGAAGTGTTGTGCGTAACATGGGCAGTAGTAAGATTAGGGTCCATGAGCGGCACCTGGCGGGTGAGATTCGGATTGGCTTTCCACTTCTGTGGTAATAGCATCTTCCAATGAACGAGGCGCAGGTCCAGTTCTTTGAACCGAGTGAGCCAAGAATTAATGTCGTTCTGATCGCGCAAGTTCACCTTCTGCTGCAGGAAGTAGCTCATGACTCGGCTCATCGACTCAGTCGCTTCGATGTTGTATGCAAACGCACCAACCGTCGACATATCCGAAGGTGCATGCTGAGAGAAGCCCACTCTCAATGGTGGATCACTGGCTGGGTTGCGCAAATCGATACTGCAGTTGCCGTGCCCTTGGGACGGATGACAAGATATGAAATCGACAGGATTCCCAATGCGGCCTCGCGACCTGTCCCAGATGCCAAAGTACGGTGTCAAGACAGGCTTTTGTTTACGCCAGAGATGCCCGTCGCACGGTAGCCTTCGATAGACGTCGTCAGACGTCAGGCTTGTATTCCAGGCGGTCGTCACCGAGCATAACCTATCGAGGAGGAAGATGTTCCAGAAAACTCGGCGCCTCTCTTCCACTTCAGTCCAGTCGCCAGTGTGATGCAGGGGTGCGAAGGGCTGTGAAAAAGGTCTCCGCTCACCCTCTTCTTGTTCTTGCGCAAGCTGAGCGTACTCGACTGTACGCGTCATGGACCCGATGACAGACCACGTCTTCTCGGCGTTTCCATCGCCGAAGTCATTAAACGTCAGGATGGTCAATGCCTGCAAATTTTCGACCGAGAGGCTGTCCATAGCGCTGCAGATAATCCACTTCCTGGTGTGCTCAAAGACCTGAACAGTCGCGCCAGGTACAAACTTCGATGCTGCCAGGACCATAGCATGGAGGATGATCAGCAGCTGGTCACGCCGTGTCTCATCGGCAAGTCTCTCAAAAAATCGACCCTGGTGAATCATAGGTATCCAAGGGTGTACATGCGTGAAGTAAGCAGTCAAGATTGTTTCTAGCATGTCAGCTCTTGGTAACGTGGGAGCATCGCCAGTCCACGATGGGACGTCTGAGGTGTCGTCTAGCCGTCGACGTTTGTAGCTTTGCTCGCTCAATGCAGGTGTCGTGACGGACTGCGTCTTGTTTTGACCCACCAGCTTTGGGAGCTCTCTAGCCAATAAAGCCAATACATCATGAGCTGTAGCGTCACTGCCGTTGCTGACGCTAACTGTCGAATTGTCAGCGTCGCCTCCAGGATGTCTTGCTTCACTAGCATCTTTCTCTTCAAGGCGACGTTCAAGCTCATCTGCGCGGGTCAGTAGGTAAGGTGGGGTCGGCTGAAAGATCATGTACCCAGTCGGCGATGAAGGTTCTCGACTGCGCCTGGCTTCAAGCCTGGCTTGTTCCGTTTGGATTCGTAGATGCATTCAAGACCTGCGGCAAGTTCATCAAATATGCTCCCGAACGGGTCTAGTAAGCGACCGCATACCTGTCTTTCGGCAATGCAAGCAATTCGGCCGATCTCGTGAGCAGCGTAGCTTCGCTTTGCGGCAGCCATTGCAGGCCAGACCTTCAGTCGCTGGCTTAGCTTGATCAGGGCTGTCAGCCTGATTCCCTTCTGGTGATTCGCTTGGCATGTCCATCAGACGTTGATGATCAGGTCGCAACAGCGCAAAGTGGTGACGCTGTTCTTATGGATTCATCCGTTCTCCGGTCCGGATAGCCCGAAGTACCGAAGCATGGCCTGAAGTGGCTGCCACCTGGTTCTGGCCCCGCATCCCGCGTGCGGACAGCTGGAAGTTCATTTCCGCTCTAGAATCTTCGTTTTGCGGACTCAAAACGCGTCAGGTAGTGTGTTGTTGACGGTTGAAGCATGGGAGGGAATAGATGCGACTTCCTCAGTTAGTTGAGCCTCTAGCCGTAATGGTTACTAGCGCGCTATTGCTCGGTGACGTTTTCAACTTCAGAATTATAGCTCCTGGAACTACGAGTGATAACGTGCTTCCATGAATATCAAGTTTGATTCTCTCTAGAATCTCCACGTGGGTCGTGTGTTTGCAACAGCAGTAGTGGTCGTCACGGCCGGTGAAGGGTGGCCCACCTTCTGAGCACTGTGAACATGCAACAGAAACGCGTGAAAAATCACAGTACGATTGAAGCATATCTGATGACCTTGGAAACTTGGTGATCAATGTCATATCTCTGGATCTACAGCCCGAATGATTTTACACAGCTCTAGCCATGGATGCAAGAGAGTGATTTTCGCTGCAGCCCTCTGTCGATTCGGTTCTTAAGCGGACGGAAAGATCAGGATCACAGAACTAACCACATGGAGGGAGCATCCTAACCAAGCCGACCAATAGCCACTTCCAGTACAGCAAAAGATTATGCACGCATAGACGCCAAGCTGTGGATGTACTCGATGCCGCAGCCTGAAGAAAGGCAGAGAGAGCAATGAGGCTGAAGACGTCGCGCTACCGGTAGTTAGTGCGGGCCCTTGCGAGTTACGCGAGTTCGGTGAGTCGCGTTCTGGAAACATGGCATTCGAGCAGACAACATACAATGACGCCTATGCCTTCAGCGCTTAGGTTCGAGCTGCTTGGGAAATGCTCGGTCAGTATATTCTGGGGTTAAATTACGGAGACTGACAACGCCCGCAGGTCACCAAAGCACGCGCAGCAACTCTGCACCTGCCCCACGGGCCTGTGCCCCTCCCCATCTTTATGCCAGTGGCGACTCAGGGATCATTGAAAGGGCTCACACCAGACCAGCTTGAAGACCAAGGCTGTCGATTGTGTCTCAACAATACCTACCATCTGTAAGACTTCACAAACATCCATGGCTCCTGCAACTTCTGACGCTCTCAGAGGCCTCAAACCAGGACAGGCAACTCTTGATACCATAGGCGGCGCTCACAAGCTGCAGTCATGGACGCATAATATCCTCACAGGTGCTTGCCCAAAACAAACATGATGCACAAGAGTAGGATGACATACTGACTGGTGCAGATAGTGGTGGGTGGGTGATTCCTCGCTCCTTGTCGATGCACGCACCGTGGCTGACACTACCGGCAGCTTCCAGATGGTGTCGCTCCTTAAGCTCGCCAAAGTAACTGAAGAGGGCGTGAGATTCCTCAGCCCTCACGACGGCTCGCCCATGCTGCTCACGCCAGAGCACTCCATGTCTCTCCAGAACTCGATTGGTTCAGACATCATGATGCAGCTCGACGACGTCATCGTAACAACCTCCCCCGATCTTGCGCGAATGAAGGAGGCCATGGAGCGCTCGGTGCGCTGGCTCGACCGCTGTATACAAGCGCACAAGTACCCAGAACGCCAGAACCTCTTCTGCATCATACAGGGAGGGTTGGATCTCGACCTGCGGCGGGAGTGTACCGCCGAGATGATGTCCAGGAACACACCAGGAATAGCCATTGGTGGCCTGTCTGGAGGCGAGGCAAAGAGCGACTATTGTAAGGTGGTAAACACCTGCACTGGACTGCTGCCAGAGAAGAAGCCGCGATATGTCATGGGTATAGGCTATCCTGAAGACCTGGTCGTATCAGTAGCCCTTGGCGCAGATATGTTCGACTGCGTCTGGCCTACAAGAACCGCTGTAAGTCGTGCTTAGTTGTATGGTCTACATGCGTACTAACCGGTCCACAGCGCTTTGGTAACGCCATCACCGCCAGCGGCACGCTCAATCTCCGCAACGTGATCTACTCGGAAGACTTTGGACCGATTGAAGAAGGCTGCAAGTGTACCTGCTGCCGACCAACATCAGAAGGCGGATTGGGCATCACGCGAGCCTACGTATACCACGTCACAGCGAAGGAGACTGCCGGCGCGCATCTTCTGACCATGCACAATGTACACTATCAGCTTGACCTGATGCGACAAGCGAGAGAAGCTATCCTGGAAGATCGTTACCCGCAATTCCTGAAAGATTTCTTCAGCAAGCTCTACAGCGGTAACAAAGAAAAGTACCCGGAATGGGCAGTTGAGGCGCTGAACGGCGTCGGCGTAGATCTCATGAGCGAGTGAATTCGCTGTGAGACACCGGCGATGCTTACACCAAGGTAGATTCTATACTAGATCATAAGCAAGAACGTCCACACAGCCTTCACATACAGCGTGCCCACGAACTTCAAACTAGGTGTATTTGGATCGTACAGCCGACGACAGTTAGCAGCTTCGACTTGTGCAAACGGCCCTGCACTCTGACGTTGATGGTGAAGCAAGCTGCGGAAGCAACGATAGCAAGCGGGGTACCCCACATCTCATCTGCAGGTCAACGCGCAACAAGGCATGAGAACCGACCTCACAATATGGTCTTGATGGCGGAACACCCTGGGTAACGGAACGCCTTCGGTGTTCTGGTAACTGTTGCGTTCCTCACTCCTCACCCTGAGATTGTGTATTTCTTTTCTGTCTCTTCATCCTCTCGCCACCATCCAAAGCTACGAATCCTCCACGGCAAGCCACAGCATCGAGCTCAAGCAGCCGACAGGGCGCGAACTACTCGAAGCATCCGCATCGCTCGTTGTGAACATCACCGGATATCTTGGCTTCCTAGGCAACGGCTGGGGCTACTCACTCGGTGCCGCCGTTGCAGACCGTGGCAAACTCGTGCCTAACATCCAGGGCGACGGCAGCGCAGGCTTTCATATTGCAGAGCTAGACACGTACAACAAGTTCAATCTGCGCATCCTGACTGTGGTCGTCAACAGCAAAGTCTGGGGCATGAGTCTCGCAAGCCAAGACATGATCTACGGCGATGCGACGACAGCTAGACCAGCGAGCAAGCTCAATAAAACGACACGCTACGATATCATCGCCCAGGGATTCGGGCTGCCTGGTCCCATCGACGCCACTGCCTCACTGCCCCAATCTTGTTACTGCGTGAGCAGTGTCGGTCGGAGACTGTGATCAGCAGTTGTATTGCCATCTGTTGTCGTGTTGTGTGATGTTCTGTTGTTCTGTTGTTGTGTTACATAAGCTCTCAGCTCTCAGGTAAGTGCACTTGCCCACCGGGCAGTGCCTGCTACAATAGTATATCATGTGATCTGAGCCACGTGGTTACAAACATCCGCTGGACGCCCCGCGCAAGCCGTTCCTTGAGCTCGGCTCCAAGGACGAAGAGCGCTGGCAGAAGGCATTGAACGCGCTCGGCGATGCAGTCGACGAGACTGTACAGTCTGAAGGGCCGGGACAGATTGATCTCAGGGTCAGTAATAGACCGCATCATGATATGACGAAGTGTATGGTCGGGATGACGGATGATCGGGAGGTAATTGTTGTGCCGTACTGTGATAATCTGCCCAGGCCATATTACAGGGTGCCTATTGATGGTCAGTGATGACGACCGAAGCGAGATCGTCTGCATGCTACAAAATTGCTAACAAATGGGCACTTGTCTGCTTCCGCCTAAATGTGCTGACTCATGTCGTCGTTACCTAAAATGCTCGACTATCCGCCAGTGTTTCCTCTGTTACCAAAAAGCTCTTCTAGGTTACCAAAAAGCTCTTCAAGGTTACCAAAAAGTTCTTCAAGACGGTGTTGAAGCACACGAGCGAAGCTTCGCTTGGGACAGATCTGCTATCTCTATTCTGGGACAGATCTGCTATCTCTATTCTGGGACAAGGCGCCGGCCCTGACCACAGTTGTGATGTGCCCGGTCCAAGTGGAAAATACCCCAGGACCACGCTGGAGCGTAGCACGGTCTACAGCATTTCAGTCGCCGGCACCAAGACAGAAGTACTTTGTGGTGATCGCACCGGTATATGTCAGGACAGACACGTGGTCACCACGATACCACGTCACCCCAATTGGTGCGACCTGGAGCCGACCGGTCGAGCAGCCTTTTGCTCCATGGTCGGTTCAGTGACAGGTATGCCAGCAACAACAGGCTGTCGATGCAGCTCTTGTTGACGCCCGGCGAAGACAATCATGTGCGCCTGGATCCCGGGCGTCCCAGCCTAGGTGAGGTGTTGGCCAGCCTTGCTCGCGACACGTTGGTCTTGTGGTCAAAGAATGCACCGTGTGGTGAGTATTTCGTAAGTGTTTGCAACAGCAGCTCACAAAGTGCAAGGCCAGTGTCTTGCATGCACCACGCAAAACTCAAACATTGCCCTTTCGACGCCAAAGACGGGACAGAGAATGCCAAAGACGGGACAGAGAACGCCAAAGACGGGACAGAGAACGCTGACTGAACGAATAGCAACATGGCCAACTCATCCAGCGCCTCGCCACAACGCTGTCGAGTGTCGTTTGCAATTGTGCGTTCCTGCTCAAGCAGCCGTGGCCGCTCATGCTCGCCGCGCTGTTCTGGTGAAGGCTTCAGAGCGCTCGTCAACGACGGGGACTTTGCGTTCACACTGCAGGACGCGGACGCGGACGACGACAAGGTTGATGCGTGGGAGTGGCGCGCGGCAGATACGATGGTGTGCGCGTACATGACGAGTGCGAGTGGGAGTCGCGCTGCATGGACGAGGTGTGGAGCACGTTTGTAAAGGCGCAGCTGTTCATCCGCGACCCCCTCGAGCCTGCGAGCGCGCCGGGTGATGGCGATGGAGACGACCCGCGCCGTGTGCGTGTCGAGGACAAGGGCATGGACACGGCTGTGCGGAAGACAGGCCCGTGAGGTGAGGTGGGGTGAGGTGAGGTGAGGTGAGGTGAGGTGAGGTGAGGTGAGGTGAGGTGAGGTGAGGTGAGG